ACTACTACTACTACATACTACTACTACTACTACTACTACTACTACTACTACTACTACTACTACTACTACTACTACTACGACTACTACCACTACTACTACTACTACTACTACTACTACTACTACTACTACTACTATTACTACTACTACTACTAATAATAATAATAATAATACGACTACTACTACTACGACTAGTAACTACTACTACTACTACTACTACTACTACTACTACTACTACTACTACTACTACTACTACTAGTGCTACTACTACGATGACGACTACTACTACTACTACTATTACTACTACTACTACTACTACTACTACTACTACTACTACTACTACGTACTACTACTACTACGTACTACTACTACTACTACGTACTACTACTACTACTACTACTGGTTTATTACGACTACGACTAGTAACTACTACTACTACTACTACTCTACTACTACATACTCGTTACTACTACTACTACTAGAGCTTACTACTACTACTACTCCCCTATCCTACTACTACTACTACTATTACTACTACATACTACAACTACTACTGACTACCCCTAGCACTACTACTACTACTATCTACTACTACGTACTACTACTACTACGACTACGACTACTACTACTACTACTACTTACTACTACTACTACTACTTACTAGAACTTTAATACATTACTACTACTACTTACTACTACCGTTACTACTTCACTACACTACTACTATATTCTACTACCCTACTATACTCTACTACTACTACCACTACGTACTACTACTACTACTACTATCTGCTACAAACTAATTACTACTTACTACTACTACACTACTACTACTACTACTACTTATCATTCCCATTTCCTGTACCACTACCACTACCACTACTACTACTACTACTACTACTACTACTACTACTTCTACTACTACTACTACTACTACTACTACTACTACTACTACTACGACTACTACTACGACTACTAACTGTTAACTAATAACTATTACTACTACTACTACTACTACGACTACTACTACTACTACTACTACTACTACTACTACTACTACTACTACTACTACTACTACTACTACTACTACGCCACCGTGCCTGCACAAAGTGGGCGTGTTAGAATGCTCCTGTGGTCCCTAGTAGGAGCGTAGGGACTGCAAGATAGCTGCAAAACAGCGCACGAGGCGCCCAAAAGGTCCCGAAGTCGGCCCATGAGGACCCAAAGATCGCCCAAGAGGGCCCCCGACCGCCGTGAACCGCTCCAAAGTAAAGCAAAAAGACGGCCCATGGAGCCCTCTTGGGCTGTCCTGGGCGGTCGGAAACCCAAACATGCCAGAGCCTCAGCATCTTCCAAGAACCTAAGAGAGTCCGTGGTGCTGGCCTCCTCGGGCTCTTCTGGAAGGCCTCTTGGAGGCCTATTGGGCCGTCTTGGGGGCCTCTTGATCTGTCTCGAGGCCTTCTTGGGAGCCTCATGGCTTCCGGGACGGCGTTCAAGGCAACCATGCCGCAAAGATGGCAAAAGCCGGCTCAAAAGGCTCCGAAGACAGCCTCAAGACAGATCTAGAAGCCCCCAAGACAGCCCAAGAGGTCGCCAAGAGACCATCCTGGAGAGCCCGAGGGTGCCAAAAACTTGGATGTCCCTTTGGCGCCTGAGAGGGTCAAAGGTTCTCGCCTGTTCGGGTTTCCGACCGCCCAAGACGGCCCAGAAGGCCTACAAGAGGCCCCCGAGATGGCTCCAAGACAGCCTAGGAGGCCCCAAAGGGGGCCCGAAGTCGGCCCAAGAGGACCCACAGATCGTCCAATGGCGCTCCCAAGAGGGCCCCAAGACGGCCGTGAACCGCTCCAAGAGGGCACCAGGACGGCCTAGAGAGGACCCACCCGTAGGCGTCAGACGGGCCGAGAGGCCCCAAGAGGCCCCCAAGATGCCCATGAGGGCCCCAAGAGGCCCCCGAGAAGCTTTCAGGAAGATCCTCATGTTCTCCGTCTCCTCCTCCTCCTCCTCCTCCTCCTCCTCCTCCTCCTCCTCCTCCTCCTCCTCCTCCTCCTCCTGTTCCTCCTGCTCCTCCCCCTGCTCCTCGTCCCCCCCCCCTCCCGCCCACCATTCAGACACTCTCCCCCTTCCCTCCCCTCCGTTTCACCCTCCTCCTGCCGCTGAAGGGAAGGAAGGGGCCGCCGCGCACCGCAGTCCAGCCACAGCACCCACTCGTAGGGCCCCCGCCCCTCTCGAGGAGAGAGAGCGCCCCGACCAGGCCGACAAGCGGAGGGGGGGCGACCACGGGGCCCAGGCGCCTCCGCGAGGGCAGAGCCCCTGGCAGCACTCACAGCGGGCTGAAGAAGTGATGACACAACGAAGTCGTCGTCGGCGACCAAGAGCCGACGATCAGAGTTCTCTGACGAAGAAACCCAGCCCTGAGACCCCAGGGCGTCTATTGATTTTTGGTGCGGGAACGTCACGCTTTCCATCGCACAGCCATTTGAAAACCATCGAAACCCGAGAAACCCAGGGCACCCGGGAGGCAAGCAGGGTGTGCAGGGGAACAAACAAGGACATAAACATAAAAACTCGGAGGTCCGCGCGGATTTCTCGGATCGGCGCTGGACCCCCCTCCCTGGCGCGCGGAGGGGGGCCCCGCCCAGCGCGGAGCCGAGAAGTCCGCGCGGCCCTCCGAGTTCTTCTGTTTATGGCACTGCTCGCTCCCCTGAAGCCGGGTGTGCCTCGGCATGGGGCCCCGCTGCACCTGTGCAGCGCAACGCGCAGGGGTCGCACGGCGCTCTGCGGCAAGGTCAAAGATCTGGGCCCCGCGCGAACCTTTCGCGGGAGACGGCCGGCACGCCTCCCCTCCTCGCACTCCCAAGGGGGCCCGGACCTGCCGGGGGTTTCGGGGGGGGGGGAGGGGCCTGGTCGCCACTGCCTCCGAAAAAGGAAAAAACGGCTTCGGGTGGCTATCATGGGCCAATGCCTCCTCTTCCTCCTCCTTCTCCTCCTTCTCCTCCTTCTCCTCCTCATCCTCCTTCTCCTCCTCCCCCTCCTCCCCCTCCTCCTCATGCCCGCCCCTCCTCCTCCTCCTCCTCCTCCTCCTCCTCCTCCTCCTCCTCCTCCTCCGTAGCTATCATGGGCAGCGCAGCCCTTCCGCGCAGTCAGGCGGCCTTCCAACCCAAGGAGTGGGAGAAGTGAGGCGGGGAAGGAGGAGGATGGATGTGGACAAGGGGGAAAGAAAAGGAGGCGGGACAGGGAGAAAGGGGCTGAAGAGAAGGGGGAAAAGGAGGACAAGGGGGAGAAGGACATACTGAGAAAGGGGGTCAGGAGAAAGGGGATAAGGATAAGGAGAAGGAGGATGGATTAGGACCAGGAGGAAAAGGAGGATAACGAGAAAGGGGAGCGATCCCCAAACGCCCCCCCCCTCCCTGTGGCTGCATCGCTGGGGCCTGGAAAGCCCGATCCTCTGTTTGGTCTGGTCAGGGGGCTCTTCTCCTCTGGCCTCGGGCCCCTCGCGCGTGGCGTGGGGCAGGGGGGAGGAAGGAGACAGGAGAAGGGGATGAAGAGGAAGGAGTGAAGGAGATAGGAGTGAAGAAGGAGGTGGCGGTGAACGGTTGCATTGGCACTGGGTCGCGTTTTCGTCTGAGACTGGCGGCAGTCTGCTGGTCAGGAAACATGAAAACTCGTCTGAATGAAGTGGCTTGCATATGCGCCAGAATCGCTGCGGAATCCTCGGGAGCACGCATTGGATACCCTGACTACGCCCTGCAGGTGCTACTGAAACCATCGTAGCTCGAATTCTTGACCAACGAAATGAACACCCGTCTGGATGTAGGCCATGTGCATCGCTAACACCTCTTACTCTTAGCACGCAAAAAAATTGTTTGGTGTGCCGCTGGAAATCCTCGAAAAGGGGGCTCTTGGTCAGAAAGGAACGCTGCTGCTAATATACGCAAGCGGCCGCCTGCAGCACATACACATTTTCCTTGTAGAATTCGTCACTATTGACGCGCATGTGCCGCTGGGAATCCTCGACGCCGGCGCGTTTGGATACGGAAGCGTATGGCCGTCTACATCGCAGAAACCACTTCCCCGTAGCACTCGTCGCGGCGGACAGCTATGCGGCAGCCTGCCAATCCCAAAACCTGTGCACATGTTGGCACGTGGCCTTCAATGCCAGCGCCGCGTTTCGAATGCCTGGCTGCGTCGTGCTCGCGCCGCCGAAAAATCCTCCAAGCTAGCGATGTTAGACATATATGGCGAAAGACCATTCTGAATACCCCTCGACAGGTGTTTGCATCGCATACAGTGCCTCTTCCGTTGCCACGGGCGGCTGTGTGGCAGCCCACTGGTGACAGCAACTGTGCTCGCGACCGCACTGGAAGTTGTTCTGCCTTCGCCGCGCAAGGATTGGGGGCATACATCGCAAGTTCTGGCCACGCCAAGCTGGTTCCGCTTAAAATCTTCGAAGCTGGAGCACTCCGACAGGACACAATTCCACTCCAGATGCTCCACGACGGCCATGAGCATTGCATCCACGTTCCTTGGACGGTCGTTTGCCGCTGGGACTTGTCTAAGTTGTCACGCTTGGCAAACACAGGCCACCCAACCAAATACATGCTGACAATACATTGCACCGCGCTGATACAATCGGTTCCAATGCTTATTTGAGAACGGTCCGCCACATATAAGCCCTCGACTGGGAGCACCATGGACAAGAAGATAGCAGCTCCGGTGGCCGAAGTGGTGAGAGGTTGTCGGGCACCCCGGTTGTAGTATGAACCTCCGACGCGCTCGAAACACCGCGGCGCCAGGCGTCAGTACTAAAGTGATCGGTGGATGAAATGAGAGGGGCCCAAGAAGGAGGAGGAGGAAAAGAGGAGGAGGAAGAGAGGAGAGGAAGAGGAGGAGGAGGAGGAGGCGGGACGAGGGAGAGAGAGGAAGAGGATAAGAAGAGAGGAAGATGAGGAGCGAGGAGGAGGAGGAGGAGGAGGAGGAGGAGGTAGAGGAGGAGGAGGAGGAGGAGGACGAGACGGGAAGGGGGGGAGGGAGGAGGAGGAGGAGGAGGAGGAGGAGGACGATGGAGGAAAGGGGAGAAGGAGAGAGGAGGAAGAGGAGGAAGAAGAAGAGGAGAAGAGGGAGGGTGGAGAGAAGAGAGAGGAGATGGACAAGCTAGGCGCGCTCGCGCCATCTGACATCCGATCCCTCACACTCACACCGTCCCACTGCGCTGCTGTATGGTATATACTCGGGCGCGTGATGTGGCCGACCTGGAACTCCCAAAAGACCCCCACCGTCTTATGCGCAATTCGAAGAGGGGGGCTGCGCACAGTGGCGGGTGAGCAGGAGGCGGGCTCCCACCGGGAAGGTGAAGTTCTCCTTGCTCGCCTGGCTGCTACCGCGCCTAGGTCCTTGCCCTGGCAGTGGCGGGTGAGCAGGAGGATGAGCAGGAAGAACAGGAGGAGACGAGAAAGGAGGAGGACGAGGACGAACAGCAGCAGCAGCAGGAACTGGAGTGGAAGGAGAGGGACGAGCAGGACCAGGGGAAGGCGAAGGAGCTGAGCAGGATGAAGAGAGGGAAGATGAGAAAGGAGGAGGAGGACGAGGGCGAACAGCAGCAACGGAAACTGAAGTGGAAGGCGCGGGAGGAGCTGGAGGGCCAGGGAAAGGCGGAGGAGGGGAAATGAGGAGGCGACAACGATGAGGAAGGACTCGGATCCAGAAAAGTTGCCCACGCTGGGGAAAGAGCGCCATTCTTAACGACGGGAGCAAAGCGCCGATCCGAAAAGGAGGCCCACGCAACAGC